CGCGATTTTTCCAGTTTTTCAATTTTGTTTTTGCAATAACTCGAATGCTATTATAGATACAGGAATGATTTTTCTTTTGTTTGAAAGAGGACACTTAGGGCTATTGAACAAAAAATATTTTGGAAAAAAATTTTGAAAAATGCCAAAGTTGTTCAATTTTAAATTTTTGAAAATCGTCAAAAACCTCGATTGACATTTAAATTGTGACTCAATTTTTTTTGTATAGTACCTTGTACTGATCTTAAAAGACCCTGAAATTTTTAGAACTGTGTGTATTTTTTTTAAATATGAAATTTTGAATTTCAAAAAAAAATTTTTTCTTGTTTTTTGCAACTTTTAAATAAGGTAAAGTTATGCAGATACATAGTATTGTAATTTTGAGCATTAAAAAATTAAATGCACGGCGTGGAAATATTAAATAATAAATTAATTTCAATTTTTTTTTAATTTTTTGGAGTAATCTTAAAGTCAGGCTTAACACATGATATAGTTTCTTATTTTTTTAACGCATGATATATTTTGTCCGTTTCTTTACTTCAATAACAGTATTTAACGTCAAATAACTCAAACTGATATACATTTCCAATAAAAATTAGAATTGCCTGACCTTCACGAGTCGAGTATAAAGCACAACCTCACGCGCTACATTACAAATAATTACATTCGAAGTAGATATTGTTTGACCCCATTTAGAAACTCGATGACATGGACAGGTAACAGACCAGTTTAAAATTTTATCGTACTCTATTTTCATAATTATTTTCGTTGATTGATCAACGCTTTCTTAAATTATCAATTTCAAATTTAGATCGTGTCGCTGCTCGTTCATTAGACTGCTGTTTACTCAAACTATACTAAACTGCTGCTGACTGAAATTGCTTATTTCCAGATTATTTTTTACTGTAACACAAATGTATTTTATTATTTATATAGATTAGAAGCTATATGTATTTTTTTTAATCGAGAAATTTTTAAATGCATTTGAATTTTAAAAAGGGAAAGATTAAATTTTTAGGTTAACTTTATCAATTTAAGATTCATTATAAAGTTTATTACAATAAAATTTTTTCTATAACGAAGTTTTAGAAATATTAATAATTAATTAGAAGTAGTTTGAACTTACATACCTGCATTTCCATAAAGTTCTACTATAAGTACTATATACGATGCGAAGTAAATAAATAATCTCCATATGTTTTACTAGGTTATATTTTACTATAGGGATTGAGAAAGAACTGTAGAGGCAGCACTACTGCTGAAAGTAGAGCGCCCGGGTGTTGAAAATGTAAAGCATAGTGATGTAAACAGTGTAATAAATAGTATTAGTTGAAATAAATAATGAAAAAAATAATTAAATTCGGGTTCTTGTCCGTCAAAAATACCCATATTAGGGGTCAAAATGACATAAAAGGAAAAAAGTTATTATTCGAGTCAGGACACGTTTCGAATGGTGTAGAAACAGAAGATTCAAATAAACATTAAACCATAACCTGCTCAGTTGTCACTCAAACCAAAGTTTCCGATATTTACAGTATAAAAATTGATGTTAGTTGATGAAGTTTTTTTGAAATTATTTTTAATATTCGTTAATTGACGAAATTTATAATTAAATATAAACTTTGTAAAAATATATTACACTAAAATTAGCCGATGTTCAGCAATTCTTGCATTTGTTTCAACAATTAAATTGCAAGTAAAAAAATACTTTTAAAAATTTGCACGTATAATTTTTTAAATCTTCGACATGTGAAATTTTTTATTTTGATTTTTTTGTAATGATTTTTTTAATAAAGAAAATTATAAAAATTTTCAGATGTAGGCTAATTTAATTTTGATTAAAAAAAATGAGACTGAGATCAGCTGACATTTGATAATTTTTTAAATTTTTATGCCGCAACGCAATCTTTAGTTTTTTCAGTTTTTATTAGTTGAAATAAATAATGAAAAAAATAATTAAATTCGGGTTCTTGTCCGTCAAAAATACCCATATTAGGGGTCAAAATGACATAAAAGAAAAAAAGTTATTCGAGTCAGGGACACGTTTCGAATGGTGTAGAAACAGAAGATTCAAGTAAACATTAAACCATAACCTGCTCAGTTGTCACTCAAACCAAAGTTTCCGATATTTACAGTATAAAAATTGATGTTAGTTGATGAAGTTTTTTTTTAATTATTTTTAATATTCGTTAATTGACGAAATTTATAATTAAATATAAACTTTGTAAAAATATATTACACTAAAATTAGCCGATGTTCAGCAATTCTTGCATTTGTTTCAACAATTAAATTGCAAGTAAAAAAATACTTTTAAAAATTTGCACGTATAATTTTTTAAATCTTCGACATGTGAAATTTTTTATTTTGATTTTTTTGTAATGATTTTTTTAATAAAGAAAATTATAAAAATTTTCAGATGTAGGCTAATTTAATTTTGATTAAAAAAAATGAGACTGAGATCAGCTGACATTTGATAATTTTTTAAATTTTTATGCCAAATCAATTATCATAAAAAAAATTCTTTTGAAAATTTGTACAAATAAGTTTTTTAAATTTCTACATGTGGAATTCTTTTACTATAAATTTTTTAATAATATTTGAATTGTTATAAAAATTTGAAAAGTTGTAAGATGTCTTTTGATTCAGTATCGTAACAAGTTTCGAAGTCTAGAATTGAATTTTTTTTTAATTTTCAGTGGAATAGAAAAACTTGATAATAGTTTTGAAGAAGACATTATGAAAAATTATGTTAATTAAATTAAAAAAATAATTAATTTAACAAATATGTTATTGTTTTGTATACTAGTTGCAACCACTTTGTTTTACATTTTTCTCGGCAGGTGGCGTCAAGGTCATCTTTCTCAATCCCTATAATTCACACTGTTAAGTTAACAGTGTTAACTCTTCGTTGGTCGCACTCAGGGTACCCAGACTTTCTCTTCGGTGCGTAGCCGACCTGTGGCGCTAAAGTCGCCCAAAGTCGCCGCGATCAATTCAAATTATAAAAATTAAATAAATTTTTTTTTTTAATCATGTTTATTGATAATTATAAAATTATTTTCATTCAACAAAATTATAAGTTAGAATACAAAATTCAAGTAAATTTTATGAAGTGAGCACCATGCTCGAATTACTAAGTACAACGAAATATTAATTCTTTAAACACGCACTTTTAAAATAAATAGCATTGATTTATAAAAAAAAAATAAACACGTATTATTTTTACGCGCGATTTTAGTAAAACTTTTGTATCAATTTCTAATTACACTAATATAATTATTAATATTATTATTTAATTAATTAATATCAATATTATTTATCTGTTATTGCAAAGTTTACATTATATATTTTACAGGAAATATTTTTGACCCGGAAGAAAGACAGTTAGAAAGAAGTGTGGGACGGCAACCGTTCGTACAAGTACCCCCGCACTGGCAACCATTGGAGCAAGGATCTTCACACCAGACATTATTGGCGCAAAGACTTCCGCACAGGCAAACATTGGTGCAAAGACCTTCGCACCAGGTATTATTGGCGCAAGGACCTCCACGGCAGGAATTATTGGCGCAAGGATTTCCGCACAGGCAACCGTTGGCACGAGGACCTCCGCACAGGCAACTGTTGGCGCAAGGACCTCCACATTAGGAATCATTGGCGCAAGGACCTCCGGACAGGCAACCATTGGCGCAAAGACCTTCGCACCAGGTATTATTGGCGCAAGGAGCTCCACGGCAGGAATTATTGGCGCAAGGATTTCCGCACAGGCAACCGTTGGCACAAGGACCTCCGCACAGGCAATGTCCTGATGTATTTTACAAAGAATTTCTATAGTACCTACTGGTTATTTTACTGAGCAGGAAAAATAAATTTCTTTATTATCTACTGTTCTCGAAGGCGGCAATTTTTCGGAAAGTGTCCAATCGAGAGTTAAGTTTTTCAATCATTACGCGGCGATAAAAAAATTTTTCTACCAATAACGATGAGGATTTTGTCTTTTCGGTTTAATATTTTTCTGATGAAAAAGTTCTAAAAATTTTAAGTGTCGGCTAATTTAATTTTCATGTGCTTTTTACGAGCAAGGTGTTTCTTCCATAAGTGTAGTAAATCTTTTTCAGTCTGATTTTATCATTTTCATTATCTTTTGTAATTGATGACTAGCTTTTTGATCTTTTTGATGATATATTTTCGTAATTCAACATCTTTGAGCAACATGGGTTGTAAAAACACTCTCAATCACTTCCTTTGAGTTGTCACTCTTCTTTATATGAAAATTAAGTTAGCTGACATGTAAAAATTTTTATAATTTTTTTTTATAGAGAAAATTATTATAAAAAAATTCATTTTTTAAAAACTTGAAAAACTATAAGCGCAATTTAAAAAAAAAATTTTTTTATTTCTAATTTAATAAATTAAAAGTATCAGCTAACTTTTGTATTATCTGGTCTCTTGCATTTTGTTTCTTCATGCCTTATAAAAAACATTATACTGAATTTAACATGACATTAAAATTAGCACTCACTTAACAATTTTTTAATTTTATTTATCAAAAAATTTGTTTCAAAAATTATTTTTAAAAAATTGCATTTTGTATTATTTAAAATTTCTAAATGTCAATTTTTTTTTGCCATAATTTATTTGCAACCAAATTTTTAAAATTATTAAATATATGCCTAAATTAATTTTTATGAATTTAACAGAAATTTAACAATTTTTAGATTTTCATAACAATTAACTTATAATAAAAACAATTTAGCAAAAAAATTCTACATGTAGAAATTTAAAAAAACTATAAGTACGAACTTTTAAAAATATTTTTTTTTCATAATAATTAATTTATTGTAAAAATTTTAAGAATTGTTAGATATCTGCTAATTTCAGTTTTATCTCTAACAAATATATATTGTCAAAAGTTTTCTATCAGAATTCTTTCTAATATCTTTTTCAACAAAACAATAGTTTGCTAATCATAATCCAAACTTTGAAGGCTGTCTATTATATCATACCGTTCCTAAAAATCATTAATCATTCTTTACCATAATCAATCACAATTAACCACATGAAAACAACAACAAGAAAGTTCAAGAACATTCATCGCAGCCGTTTGTTGCGTCATGTGAGAAAATTCCAAAATTCCCATCACCAATCTCGTCTCTGATTGGTTTACCATTTTTTGAATTTTGCGCGCGAAATTTAAACCTAAAAACAATCTTGAATATTCCGAACTAGTTTCTCAATAACAATAAATAATAAATAATAAATAAAAAGTACTTTTATATACTATGAAAGCTTAAAAAAAAATTTCGACTTCTTTCAAATAAAATGTAGATTTTTTTTCATATTAAAAACTCAAAAATCCGAGGCGCCCTCTAAAATATAATAAGAAAAAAAAAGTTAAAGTTATCTGAGCGCCTCCAGTGGCAAGTTCAGTCAACACGTCACGTAAATGGCAAAGTACATCGCTGAGGGAGAAATAAAGACTTTTAAGAGTGCAAGACAAAGCTGATCCCTGGACCCCCGTAATTAGTAATTGTACGGAGCCCTTTGTTTAAATTTACAAGTAAATACATTATCGCATTACAGTTATTACAAAGGTGTCATAAATTACAAGCAAGGTAACGATCAACTTCTAGCAATGGCGACTTGACCCCACAAAGAATGGAACACTTTTCAACATCGACATTGTATATCTCGAGGTACGTTTCTGCTTTTAATTCTAAATTTTTATCCACTTGTGTACTTATTTCCTGATAATTATTAATATTTATGATAATTAGTCATCCAGATGACCTTTTTTTCCAGAACCAGTTAATAATTCGACATGCTTCTCTACATATATACATGTATATACCAAGTCTCTATATATACATACAATACATACACACACACATATATATATACATATAGATATATATATATATATCCATCAGCAATTACAATCGTCATGCAAAACATATCCCCTCTTTTTAAAATTCATTGTCATACTTTTTATCCAGACTTACTCAGTAATAAAATTATTTATAAATTTTTCCATAGACATTTCGAGATATATATTTATATATTTGTGTACACATATATAAATTTACATGACCATCTGGAACATTTATTCTTGAAAAAAAAAAAAAATTACTTGGATATATATTTATCAGTTATTGCAACATATACACATGCATCCTTGGCATAAAAGTCTACCCAAAATATTTTTTCGAGGTCTTTTTTATTAAAAAAAATAAATGTTTTTTTTTTTTTTCTTTTTCAGATTCTTTTTTCGAGTTTAATTAAAAAGCCACAAAGGTAATTGTTAATTTTTACTGGTTATATTATTCTACACAGTTCAACTTCGCTTGAATTTTTTGTTTTAATTTAAATAGTTTATATGTAACAGTGAAAGTAGTTTACGTACTAGGAATTTTTAAATAAATAAATTATCAGAGACATTTTATAAATTACTTTAAGAGAAATTTTTAATAATATATACCGTAGTCACATAACCGTAATATTTAAGCTCAAAATTGAACCATAAAATTTTTTTAAAAAGTTGAAATTTTTTTTTTTAAAGCAAAAAAATTAATTTGAAATTTACTAAACATTTGAATTTATAATTTTGTTAGTTTTAAAAATTCAACGAAATATACTGATTCGATGTTAAAAAAAATATTACGTAAAAGAAGACATATATTTCTCGCAAAGTCATGGTTACTGGAAAACGTTGACATATCGAGTTTGATAAAAAAAATCCGTGGAAATTTTTTAAGTATACAAAAATACAGTAGAGTCAAACAAAAAAATTCAAGTATAAATTCTCATTTAAGACAAAACGTAAATAATTTTTAAAATAGATTGAATTTTGATTAAAAAAATTTTTTTTTAATAGTGACATAAATACTTATGACAATTGAAGGTTATTAGATATATTAAAAAGTAAGAAGCGCTGGCTGATGATGTCCTTAGACGTTAAAAAAATGTGTAACCAAAAAGAGTTTTACTATGAGGTTGGACTGTGGTAGTATAAATTAAAAATAATAATAAAATAAAAAAAAAATACTAATAAAAATGAATATTGTGAATTTAGATGGCGGATGTTGATCCAGAGACGCTGCTAGAATGGCTGAGCATGAGCCAGGGCGATGAACGGGACATGCAGCTGATCGCATTGGAGCAGCTGTGCATGTTGCTGCTGATGAGCGACAATGTCGACCGGTGCTTCGAGATCTGTCCTCCAAGAACATTTTTACCCGCATTGTGCAGAATATTCCTAGACGAGCATGCACCCGACAGCGTGCTGGAAGTAACTGCGCGTGCTATAACTTACTATCTCGATGTATCTGCGGAGTGTACGAGGCGAGTGGTGGGGATGGAGGGTGCCGTCAGAGCGATCTGCGGACGGCTATCAGGAGCCGCGCTTGGTTGCCGAGCGAGCAGAGATTTAGCGGAGCAGTGCATCAAAGTTCTGGAGTTGGTTTGTGCTCGAGAAGCCGGAGCTGTTTTCGAAGCCGGAGGTCTTCCCTGCGCGCTAGGATTTATCAGAGAAAACGGAGCAAGAGTTCATCGGGACACTTTGCACTCGGCGATGGCAGTAGTCTCCAGACTGTGCGGGAAAGTCGAGCCCCAGGATAAGACGCTTCCCGATTGCGTGGAAGCTTTATCGACTTTGCTGAGACACGAAGACGCCCATGTGGCTGATGGCGCACTGCGTTGCTTTGCGTCACTGGCAGACCGCTTTTCCCGACGGGGAACAGATCCAGCGCCACTCGCGAGCAATGGACTCGTCTCAGAGCTGCTTTACAGGCTGTCCAATGCAGCTGGACCAGGAACGTCCATTGCAGCTGCTGCTAACAATCCTAAGACACCTCCACCTTCTACGACGTCTTCAACGATACCGGCTCCAGAACCCAAGTCTTGTGCCTCTGTTTCAACGATTATTAGTCTTTTGTCTACGCTTTGCAGGGGATCTCCCTCAATTACACACGACCTGCTGCGATCAGACCTCCCAGATGCTATTGAAAAGGCTTTGAAAGGCGATGAAAGGTGCGCGTTGGACTCAATGCGTCTTGTAGATTTACTTCTTGTATTGCTATTTGAAGGAAGATCTGCTCTAGGTAAGGATTATTATTATTATTATTATTATTATTATTATTATTATTATTATTATTATTTAAATTTAATTGACCTTAGAGTCAGAGCTTGTTCAAGGCCATCAATAAAGAATACATTTTTCACACAAGTATACAGCATAAAAATTTAATTGCAATGATAATTTTAGATTAATTACAAATTATGGTTTTTAAGTTTTATAAAAATGAGTAATAGATTCTGTACAGCAGGTATTTTCGAGAGAAAATGCAAAGGCATTTTGAAATTCAGAAGGACTTAAAGTGTTAAAAAATACTTTTCAATTTATTTTTTTTTTTTAATTCATTAAGGCAACGCTAATATGAAATTTAAAAAAATCGATTTTTTTTGTATTTATGATAGGGTAAAAGATCCCATTAGTGGCGGAGACCCCATTACTGACACTTTCTTTGATTTTGATACTTATTTGATTAATGAAATCATTAATTACAATAATGATTATATTATTTTTAATCTTTAAGACCTTTAGATCAAAAAAATTTTTAATTTTTATTCCAAGTAGAACATTTTTTCATTGAAAGAAAAAATTCCACTAATAGGGGTAAAAGGTGCCACTAATGGGGTCTTTTACCTTAGTTTATATTTCTAAGAATAACATATTGAAGTTTTTAATACGTACTGTTAAAAATTTTGGTAAATTTAGTATACTAAGATATTTCGAAATTAAATATCGAGTCTATGAAAAAAATTAATAATTTATGGATGTTAATATTACGTTATTACCTTGTAAGTTTAAAATTTATTTATTAATTTTGCTAACCTTTGTATGCATATGTTAAGAAAATTAGCTTGTTATAAATTTAACAACTTAATGGTTAAATTACAAGACGAAAAGACGATAAAATAAAATATCGGATTTTACTTGAAGAAATCAAACTTGAGTAGACTAAACTTTCAGAATTATCGATAGAGTTAGAAAATTTTGATAATCTTATTAAACATTTATGCAATTCTAGTAGATAAAATAAAATTTTTTAAATTTTAATTTTGTATTTTTACATCGCCGGATTTGTAAAATTACATGAAATTTATTTTTTATTATTATCAATAGTGATTTACAAAAATTAAAAATTTTTTGAATAAATTTATTATCACACACAGTATTAAAAAAGTACAATATTTTTGTAAAAAATAGCTTTTTTTTTATTAACAATGTATGTCTTTTGATTGTATAAAAATTGTAATGTTCAGAGGCCAAAACTCATCACATTTTAAAGCGAAATTCAGAAATTTTTTTTTTTTAAACTCCGCCAATTTTCAATTAACTTCTAGTTTTTTTTTATTTTTTGTACTGTGAAGGCCGCAATCACTGCAGCAGGGCCAACTTTTTTTTGTCATTGGGGGAGGTACTCAACTACTGAATTGATATTGAAGATTTTTATAAATTTGACCTAAAAATTTCAAAAAAATCTATACAATAGGTTTCCTTCAAAAAATGACCTTTTTTTTTTAAGGTCATTTAACCTTCCTAGTAGTGCTCCTTAAATTTTTTTGAAGTTTAATTTTAGCTTTATCATAAAAAAAAACAATGCTTAATAAAAAAAAATCAATTGTAAAATTAATAGTTGAACAAATTAATTGAAATTTTTTTTGTTAAGAATTTCGAATATGTAATAAAAAAAAATTATAACTTTTAGGTCGCGGTGGAGCAGCTGGTGGACCTTCAGGGCCTCTTCTGCCTCGATTGCGTCGACTAGACAGCGCGGGGGAAAAGTCACACCGGCAGTTAATCGATTGCATACGCTCGAAAGACACGGATGCGCTGATAGAGGCGATCGATTCTGGAGGCATTGAAGTTAATTTCATGGACGACGTGGGACAGACTTTACTTAACTGGGCATCGGCGTTTGGAACTCAGGAAATGGTTGAGTTTCTCTGTGACCGTGGTGCTGATGTCAACAAAGGACAGCGCTCGTCTAGCCTACACTACGCCGCGTGTTTCGGCAGACCTGCTATTGCCAAAGTATTATTAAGACATGGTGCCAACCCGGATCTACGCGATGAAGATGGCAAGACTCCGCTCGACAAAGCCCGTGAACGTGTTGATGAAGGCCACAGGGAAGTCGCGGCTATTTTACAGAGTCCTGGGGAGTGGATGTTGCCCCCCAGCAATCAGGAACACAGAAAGCAAGACAGTGATGTTGATAGTGAATACACGGAACCAAAGGGTGACCCTGAGATGGCACCCGTTTATTTAAGGAGACTGTTACCTGTTTTTTGTGCCACTTTTCAGTCGACTATGTTACCTAGTGTAAGAAAGGCTAGTTTAAATTTGATACGTAAGATGGTACATTATATTCAGCCTGATCTACTGGTCGAGACTTGCGGAGCTGATAAAACTGCAGGATGCGGAGCTATGCTGGTTGAAGTCATAGCCAATGTTTTAGATAACGAGGTAATTTTTTAGCATTTTAGATTCTGCACACCTTTACATTTATCGGTGTGCTATTGTTTGGCTATTGGTATAAATACTTACGGAAAAAATACTTTAAAAATTACAGAAAAATTTTTATATTGAAAGATGTGAGATTTAATGGAATATTAATTGAATGGTTAGGGTAAAGGCTCCAAATTTTGACCAGTTAAGATAAAATGATTTATAAATACATTATTTGTTAATAAATATTTATTAAGGTAACATTAAAAAAAATTAATAACGGATTTCAAAAATTACAACAGACTATCTACAAGAATCTGTCATGGTTTTTTCAAAAAAATTTTCTCTCCTTTATATTGTGGGTGATTTTTTAACGCGTTTTTTGTCCTGATAGCTTTATTATCGAATTATAAATATTTATTAACAGTTAATAAATCTCTTTGGAGTGAAAATTTCTTGTTTAAAGTGTGATGTAAAGATACGATATGATTATTATTATCGTAGAAAAAAAAAATTTTTTTTTTACTTATTACAACCAGAGTAAAGGCTCCAAATAGTGACCAGTTTAGATAAAATGAAGATAAATACATAATTTCTAAATTTATTGGAAGAGTTTATGAGCTGAAATGAGTGTTATACTTTTTTTATAGTTTTAACTTATAAACTTCAATACTTTTGTTTACAAAATACATAATAATAAACATTAAATTGTAATAATTAACGTTACAGCCGATTGCTCCGAATATTGACTATTACTTACTAAATATTGACTGCCAATGTTCCAAATACTGAACAGTAGTATTATACTTACTAGACTTATAAATAATTTTTATTTTTAATCTATAATAGTTTCGACATTAGTTCATTCACTGACATGTTAATAATTACAGTACTGTTGTTAGTTCTGTATTTTGATACAATATTATCTTCAGTACTCATATTTAAATCAATGGCCTAAGCCATTCTAATATTAGGTACATTAGATAATTTACAACATCAATTGTTGACTGGAGTATTATTTCAATTATTAACATGTTCTTTCTAACAAAAATAATTAATCTTCGATATTTAATTATTTTGACAAATACTTATTTATTGATTATGAAGTATTTAATTTTATATAAATTGATGATTAATATACTTACCAAACACGGCGAGGTAAAGTTCTAATGACTAATTTTCACAACTTTCTGACATTAGTACACAAACTTTTTTTTTTTTTATTATAAGAACTGCATATATTTATGTGCATGCGTAAATTTTTATTTAAAGTATAATTAAAAATTGATAAATATGTACTGAATATTCAATTAAATTACTAGATTTTTAAAAATCAAGTTGTTATGCTGCCTGGTCGATATTTGGTTCTTTTACCTTACTTAAAAAAACTCTAATAGAAAATAAACCCTTTTTTATAGATTAAGTACTTCATTTTTCCTCTAAAAAAACAAATAAATTGTTCTGTAATTTTTTTACAACTTTTTCCGTACTTGCTTTAATAGTAATTAAAGTATAATTAATTTGTCTGGGTCAAGGGTTAATGGTGTATAAAATATATAATCAGTACTTTTTTTTTTATAGAAAATAATATTCTCTGGAAAAAAAAAAAAAAAATCCCTTATAAATACTCTCCTTAATTCCGACGAAAAAAAAAACAAGCCCCTTGATCGTATGAGGTGTAAAAAAAAGATACGGAATTCTAGCCGGCGAGTAACTGCGTAAAGGGAATAAGAATAGAAGTGAGGCATGCAGGCAGACGCTTAAATAAAAAGATTCTGATAGACAAGCTAAATTGTTTGCAGGATTTTGAGATAAAAGCAACGCCACCACCGCCTCCACCTCTCAAGTTGATTGTTGGTCCCAAATTGCCCTGCCTTCGCAAGTCTACTTCTACTTCTTCCAGTTCCCAGAACTACATTATTGATAAAACGGTAGTAGCATCCGTAGTTTCTTTTCAAGTTCACCTAGCAATGCTCAACAGCAACAACTACCAACAATTACCAACTACCAATTACCAATACCCACTCAACACATTATATTAGTCGTTTATTATTATGTCGCGAGTTATTAACACTACGACTCGTCACGTATTAATTCGATTAAAACTATTTTGTGGAGGTGGAAATATGTTAATTTATTAATTAAATCATTTACTTGTTCACTTAACTCAATATTCTATTTTATATTAATATTACTACTTGACAAGTGAAATAATAAATACCCAATTGTCCTTAATTACACTCACGTTTACTAGCAAAAAAAAAAAAAAAAAAAAAAAAATTAAATAATAAATACGAGGCTGAGCTTCTCAAAGGACACGAATGTTCTCTGCCTGCAAGCCTTTACGTTTAAAAATAATTTAATTGTTTTTATTTAATTTAATGATACATGTTTTTGCTTGCCTAAGTATTAAGTCTGTGATTAATTTGCCATTAATTAATTAATAATTGTTTACGGAAAAATCTGATTTTTGGTTGATTATTTTATTATAGGAAGACGAAGATGGACACCTGGTTATTCTGCAGATGATTCAAGACTTGATGATGAAAGGCAAAGACGAATTTCTTGAACACTTTGCGCGTCTTGGAGTATTCTCTAAAGTCGCGACTCTCGCGGGACCACAAGACACACCTGCCGAACCTGAAAATGAACCTGTTGTGGCAACCGCCTCCACAGGCGATGAACACAAATTAGAAGACGCGAGAGAATTGCTTGTGGGCCGCGCTTATCATTGGAGAGACTGGTGCATTTGCCGTGGCCGTGACTGTCTTTACGTTTGGTCGGACGCCGCGGCCTTGGAGCTGTCTAATGGCAGTAACGGATGGTTCCGGTTTATTCTGGATGGGAAATTGGCTACTATGTACTCTAGCGGTAGCCCTGAAGGAGGCACTGATGCTACTGGTGAGAACATCCTTTTTATTTAAGACGTAAAAAATGTTCAGTAAAATATTTTTATTAAACTAAAATTAGTATACATTTGAAAATTCTTCAGAATTTTCTTTATGAAAAAATTTTTATAAAAAAAATAGAAAATATTTTTTTTACTTTTAATTTGAGGGGTCATTCTGGTTCCGGCGTTCCAAAAGAAGCAAATATTAATTATTTTTTTATACAGAAACTATTATAGATATTAATATAAAATTTGATAACGGCTCATCTACAACACTAAAACCAAAATTATTTACCTTCAATTTATAAGTAGTTATTGCACCAGCTACGAAGATTAAAATTTATTGATAAATAAAAAAATGGTGGACATTAAAAAAAAAACTGACAATTGAGGCTTTTTTTCACAGTTTTTAGTCCTAAAAAAATAGTAAAATAAAAATTTTGATTTGATTGTAGCTGATGCAATAACTACTGATATGTAGAACATGTTATTTAAATTTCATTAAGTTCGGGTCAGTGGTTCCGGAAATATCATTTACCTAAACCAGAAAAACATACTTTTGAGACAAACGCGTTTAAAGTTTTTTTAATTAAAAAAAAATCTTACCTAGAGCCAATCCGCGATACCGGTACAATAAAAAATCCCTTCAGCCTTTTCAAAAATTTTATTTTCTTCCATTCGAAAATCCACATAAACATCCTAAAATAATATAGTTACAGTAGTCCGATCACTTACAATTTTTAACACAATACTTTTAGATGTATGTACTTTCGAAAAATGTAAAAAAAATTTTTTTTTGAAAGTTACAAAACAGAGTGATCCCTTAACTCTTGAATAAAATAAAAAAATAGTCAGAAGTCTGCGATTTTTCAGTATTATAAATATTTATTCATACATGAGATGATACATTACGGATAGTTAAAAAAATGAACATTTTTTATGGGCAAAAATAAAATAAATAATAGAAGCTGCGTTCTGCAGTCTCTTGGTCTATTTTATAACTAAAAAAAATTTTTTCTTAATTTCATTTATGGACTTTTAGAATAATAATAAAAAAAAAAGATTTCAATCTATTAATTTGTAAAGCTAACTTTAACATAACAAAATTTTTTTTTAATTTTTGAGTTTTATTAAATAATTAAAGAACTCATAGAATGTTTATATTAATCTAAAGGTTTGTACAATAAAATTGTTTAAAATTATTTTACATAGACTAAAAATAATTTCATTTGCAATTTAAAAACATTTAAAAAAATCATCAGTTAATTAAAAAATTGTAATTAACGAAGTGTGGATATTAGCTTAGAGATTAACTTTTTTTTTTTACTAACTGCCAACAGGAAAAGGGCGAAACACCGAATCACTTACAACAGAAGGTGGGTTTCAAATTCGTAAATCATTTATCATTATTAATTATTAATTAATTAACTCCCCATTATTTGTCGCCATGTTGCCATACTGAGCGTTAATTAATTAATAAATTAATAAAACTGTGTTGTTTATTGGTTGAATAATTAATAACTGGTTTGTAAATTTAAAAGTAATGGCGTCGATTGCAGAGAGTCGTGGCGAATTTTTGGAAAAATTACAACGCGCACGAGGACAAGTTAAACCTAATACCGTAAGTCAACCTGTCCTTTCAAAGCCCGGCCCTACACGTTTAGTAGTGGGTAATTGGGCACTTTCGAGTCGCAAAGAAAGCGAAATGTGTATTCATAATAGTGACGGGCAACAACAAGCTACTATTTTACGCGAAGATTTGCCCGGATTTATTTTTGAATCCAATCGCGGTACTAAGCACTCTTTTACTGCTGAAACTAGTTTAGGTATGTATTTTTCAAAATATCATTTAAGGTAAAAGCCCCTATTATTGACAGGGCCCTTACTATTGACACCCTATTAAATTTTGTTACTTCATAAAGTATTTGAGACTAGAAAAAATTGCTAAAAAAAAATCTGGTAAAAAATATAGAAAAGCTAGGTCTTGAACGAATTTTAAAATAATAAAAATTATTGACAGTCTTGCATTAGTTAGTAAAAATGATTATTGTTAAATTAATATAAATTGAACTGTAATAACCGAATTGTCAATAATAGGGTCAATGGTATGTCAATAATCGGCTCTTTGAATTTTTTGCGCTGTCAATAATACATACATTTGACCTGTTGGTTTTAAGTTGATATAATAATTATTAAATGTATTGCTATTAAAGTTAATTGATTAAATTATATGAGTAAAAACAATGATTTAGGAGTTCTATAAAAAAAAAGTTGACAATATTGATTTGAAACACGATAAAAAAATTCAAATATCCATGATCACTCTTATAGTGTCAATAATTGGGGCTTTTACCTTATTTTAATTAAAAAAAAAAAATCATAAATCTAACAAAAAATAATCTATGTTTAGGTCCAGATTTCGCAGCAGGATGGGCTGGAAAGCGTTGCAAGCGTTTGAGATCAAAGATAGAAGCAATAAAGCAGAAAGTAAAAACCCAAGCCCAAGAAATCTACGAGAGTTACTTCAAAGCAGCCCAAGCCCAGCCACGTGGAGTCGTTGCCAAGTTAGCAGCTATAGTAACCCAGATAGACAAAGCATATCAGAAGCAGTTATCAGGCAACCGGGAGTGGCGTAGTGTCTTGCAGTCAGCTTTAGAAGAGCTAAAGATGCTGCTGAATGAAGAAGGCCGCGTTTCAGCCTACGAATTGCATTCCAGCGGGCTTGTCCAGTCGCTTTTGGGTCTCCTGGCCAACCCGTCTGGCCCCCAAGTAACCACCGTACGTGCAAACCGCATGCGTCTTCAGCGGATAGCCGTCTTCAAGAGCTGCTTCAAAGCCAAAGACACCAACGACGGTAACTCAGCAAAAGTACTGGTCCAAAAATTAGTCTCAGTCCTCGAGTCGATTGAGAAACTCCCAGTTTATCTTTATGACACCCCTGGCTCCGGATACGGGTTACAGATTCTCACTCGCCGGCTTCGTTTCCGCCTCGAGCGTGCTCCTGGTGAATCTGCGCTGATTGATAGATCCGGGCGAAGCCTGAAAATGGAGCCGCTGAGTACTATCCAGCAACTGGAGAACCACCTGCTGAAAATGATTGCCAAGCAATGGCACGATCACGATCGCTCAACTTTTACCTTCGTTAAAAAACTGAAAGAAGGTACCAAAATGACCTTCCAGTACTCTCATGACTTTGATGAAAACGGGATCCTCTATTGGATAGGCACCAATGCAAAAACCAGCCCGGAGTGGGTGAATCCTGGACAATATGGTCTGGTAGTCGTGACATCCAGCGATGGACGTAGCTTGCCTTACGGACATCTTGAGGACATCTTAAGTCGCGATCAAAGTGCGTTGAACTGTCATACCAACGACGACAAACGCGCCTGGTTTTCTATCGACCTTGGAGTCTGGGTTATTCCCAGTGCTTACTCGCTTCGTCACGCTCGTGGGTACGGAAAGAGCGCTCTCAGAAACTGGATGTTCCAGGCTTCCAAGGATGGTATCAACTGGACGACTTTGTACACGCATATCGACGACTGTTCGCTAAATGAACCCGGTAGCACGGCAACTTGGACCCTGGAACCTCCTGGAGAAGAAACTCAGGGCTGGAGACACTTGAGATTACAGCAGACAGGAAAGAATGCCTCTGGACAGACGCACTATTTGTCAGTCTCGGGTTTTGAGGTTTATGGAGAAGTTACTGGAGTTTGCGAGGACTTGGGACGTGCGGCAAGAGAAGCTGAAGCGGGAGTGAGACGTCAGAGACGATTGATAAAGACCCAGGTGTTGAAACATTTAGTAGCGGGAGCACGTGTCGCTCGCGGGCTTGATTGGAAGTGGAAGGACCAAGACGGAGTGCCTCCAGGTGAAGGTTCTATTACTGGAGAGCTTCATAATGGATGGATCGACGTTACCTGGGACCACGGAGGCTCCAATTCGTATCGTATGGGTGCTGAGGGCAAGTATGACCTCAGGCTGGTTGGCACGGGTATGGACGGTGAGAACAAGAACAAAAATGGATCTGGAGTTCTGACTGGAAGGAAGTCCAGCAGCACTCCCAGTTTACCAGATTGCACTGATGTCAGCATGCGTAACTCGGTTGCTTCGACGGAACAGGCAGCCAGTGCTGAGAATCTCGCGGCTAAACAGGCTGCTGAGTCTATTGCGGAGAGTGTACTGTCGGTAGCTCGCGCTGAAGCCGTGGTAGCGGTCACTGGAGAAGGAGGAGCCAGTAATACTGGGGAACTCTCTGTGGTACTTCATCCGAGACCTGATACTACGGTTACTAGTGATCTGGTGACCATTGTTGAGAGTCTGGCTTTGAATACTGACTGCCCGCCTAACAGCAACAGCAATCGTGCGTCTAGTTCAAAGCCTCTGTTTTCTACAGTTCGTGGTAACAAGGTAATTGCTTTTTTAGATTGATATTTATTTTGCACGACTCATGGTGCGAAGCATTTATAAAAACTACTCAGAAAGAACAAGATGACACTGGATATCATTCCAGATTATACTGAGTGAAAAAAAATTTCAAATAGTAGCTAGTATAATCCAGATTACAATGACTATTATCCAGATGTCACGCAGTACAATCTAGATTTTTTTTTAGCTACTATCTAAAATTTTGTTTCACCACAGATATCACTGAGTATAATCTGAGATAATATCCAGTGTCATCTTGTTCTTTCCGTGTACTTACATTAATCTCAAAATTTTTTGTAACATTGTTTATTGTGGTATCTACTTTAATAATATAAATGTTATAATTTTTAATTTTTAAATAATGCTGATCTGCTATAAGGTTGTTTGTTGAAAATCTAATTTTTAATCGTTAATAACTTTTTTAAAAAACCAATAACGAATTTTCAATTTTTGAGGGAAGATCTCTTAAATTTTTGAGGGAAGACCTCTATATAATTAAACTTATTAAAATTGAAAAATATAGACTGCACGACTTATGATACGACTTACGACTTTATGATCGAAAAATTTTTTTCGCCTCATTTCTACAACTATTTTTATTATTATACTCTTGTTAGTTAACCGAGTCAAGATATTTTGCATACTATTGTGAAGATTATTTAATCGAGATTATTACATACTTTTCAAAAATAGATTTAGTGTAAGATAAACGAAAAAAAAATCATTAAAATAGTTGAAAAAATTTTTCCGTCCATCAAGTTAAATATTTTTTTGATAACTATTTACAAGTAGGGTCAATCCCATTTTGGGTCATAACTAGGTGAAAAATTAACATTTAAAATTTTTTTTTTTTATTCTGCTTGTTTTTACGGCGCATTTATGGTAAAAAATGTCATGAAATAAAAAAATAAAAATTTCAATAGCTTTTTTGCCTTTAAAAGTTGGAAAATATTGGCTTTCATGTTTTTGGATAAAATTTCTATTTTATCTTTTTTTGATGTTTTTGATATATTTTTCTTTTTTGAAAATACATTAAGAAACGAAAAATTAAAAAAAAATTGATCAATTTAATTTAAAAAAAAAAAAAAATAAAATAAAATCTATGGCCAGACATAGGGCAAAATGGGATTGACCCCACTTGTAAATAATTACTTTTTTTTTTTCAATTCTTTAAAGGAATTTAAGTTTTCCTATCGCGAATAGCTATGTACCTAATTCAGTGCGTTTAATTGCAATTAATAAAATAGAAAAACCAAAAGACTGTATTTCTATATATTGTCAACATTTATCCTATTAGGGGCACCTAAGTATTATCGTCCTATTAAAGTTGATTTACATTTTTTATTCTATTATTATTTCATAATTAAATGAATATTATGAGTCGTGCACTTTTGGATTTTCCAAACTGTTTTTAATTACTGTTAGGTGTTTAATCACTAATCATGTGTAATTGTTGTTTAAATGTTGCTTTTAGCCAACAAGCGGTTTATTGAGTCTCGAAGCGTCAGAAGTACTAGACCGGCTTCGCGAAGGCGCTGATCGGTTACGTAATAACACTAACAGTTTCTTGAGTGGTGAATTACTTGGTTTAGTACCTGTTAGGATATCTGTGTCCAGCGAAACTGACGAGAACTCGATGAGGATCAGACCAGTTCCGCGTCATAATCCTGCTACTGATGGTACGTATTTTTTTTTTTTTTATTTTGGTCCAGTTTTTTGACCGAAATGAAGAAATAAAACACTCTGTGTTTTGAGTAAAATGCAATTTGATTAGAGCGGAGTGATAGTAGAGTTAATATAGATTTTAATCTGAAAAACATTCTAGTGCAGAATTTTTAGACTATAATAAATTTTAATTAGCTGAAATAAGTTTCATATGTCGAATTTATTCACAACTAATTTTTGAATTAAAATTTTTAGGAACATTGAATTAAATTTTCACAAAGATTATTTTGACTTTCAGTCTTGTTGATAAATCTTAACGTAAAAAGTAAAAAATGATACAATATTCTGTTTAATTGAATAAAATTAATTATATTATTGAAATTTATTTCTATATGGCAATTTTTAAAATTTATTCTTCACAACTAAATTATTATAGAGAAAATTTATTAAAAAATTAAACTTGTAACAACTAAAAAAAAAAAATTATTGATACAATTTTTTTAAGCATTAAAATTTATTTATTTTATCAAACTTAGGAAAAAGTTATGTTAATTCATAAAAATTTCTAAATCCGCGTTTTATAATTAAATGATAAAAAATTATTTTTATTATCAATTAAAAACCATCTAATTTGTATTTACTCCGTAATTTTTTTACCGTGGATAATTAATTTGTAACTGATGAGTGATGACTAACTTGTTACATTACATTATTTAATTAATTTAATTTCATTATTATAACTAATGATTAATGACATATAACTAACAAATAAAACTATAACAGCAACAAAAGAATGCAACCGTGACAAAGAAGCAACCAGTTCATCATCTCAAAATACAGCTGGAGGATGTCCAGTTGTGGTTACCAATCCGATGTCTGTCTCGGTACCAAATCTAGCATGTACTGATGCTAACAACACCCTAGAAACTACTACGGCAACTGGTTTACTGGAAACATTTGCAGCAATGGCTCGACGACGTACTCTAGGTACGCTTCGTGTTATCACTTATCATTATCATTATTTTTTGAATTAATTAATTAATAAATTAATAGATTGGGTGGTGTATAATGTGACTAATTACTTGTAGGACCGGCTGGTGGACAGCATATCGCGCCAAACTCAAACGTGACTCAGAACACACGTGGACCTACATCAGTGTCTAATTTCGTGCGTTTAGCATTGAGTTCAAACTTTACCGGTGGATTGCTCAGTACCGCGCAAAGTTATCCCAGCTTGACTAGCAGCAGTCAGGTCGCTGGTAGTGGAGTCACCACGACAACTGGCGCTGGTGGTTTGGGACAGGCTTTGACTATGTCTTTGACCAGTACCAGCAGCGACAGTGAGCAGGTGAGATTTTTTTGTTCCTTTTTTTTTTTTTTTTTTTTTTTTTTTTTTAATTATGCTGTCTTAACTATTTAGTAATTAACATAAATACATGCTAACATTTATTAATCTATATAAATAAGAGAATAAGGAAAATTTTATCTCCGGTGTATTTATGTGAAAAAATGAATTTTTCGAATTAAATTTAGTATCATTGGAAAAGTCGAGACCTGAATTAGTGCCTTTTCAATATTTCATATCGACGGTCTAATTAGCAATTGGTCTAACTCCTCAATTTTTAGAGAGTGATTTTTTAACATTTTGATGTAGCAATAGTTCAATTATAAATTATTTCAATGATCCAAACCAAAATACTATACCTCTATTAGATACTAAATTGTTTTTTAAAGTGATAATAAATTTTGAACTAATTGTTTTTTCGTACAAATGGAAGATTTTCTAAATTGGAGTTAGACAATTTGCTAATTAGAACGTCGATATGTTTTTCTGCAACAGTTAATTTATTATGATAAGTTTTCGAAGTAGTTGTAAATAGATTAGAATTTATAGATAAACAAAATTTGTTTATTTATTTATTTTATTTTGTACATGTCAATGTAGTTACAGTCAAAAATTTATTTGTATAATTAAGAGACTAAAAAATTTTTTAACGGGTATATCTTTATCGTAAATTGAGTTTGATATTTTTTAGCAATAGCCACATATGATTTAAATAATTGAAAAAGTGAGAAAAATTTTGTGACGAGCATATTATTATTTTTAAAGGAATATTTATAGATAAATTTGGAAATGTCTTGATAAGAATTAAGGTAAAAGCCCCCATTATTGACACTAGAAAAGTGATCATGAATATTTGAATTTTTTGTCGTGTTTCAGATCAATATTGTTAACTTTTTTTTTTATAGAGCACCTTAATCATTGTTTTTACTCATATAATTTAATCAATTAACTTTAATAGCAATACATTTAATAATTATTATATCAACTTAAAACCAACAGGTCGAATGTATGTATTGACAGCGCAAAAAATTCAAAGAGCCGATTATTGACATACCATTGACCCTATTATTGACAGGTCGTTTGTTACAGTTAAATTTATATTAACGATAATCATTTTTACTAACTAATGCGAAACTATCAATAATTTTTATTATTTTAAAATTCATTTAAGACCTAGCTTTTCTATATTTTTTATCAGGTTTTTTTTAGCAATTTTTTCTAGTCTTAAATACTTCGATTCTTATAAAATCACATGACGACAGTATGTAAACATTAATACGTTGATATGTATGTTGAGGGGGTAAGGTTACCTTACATTATGGCCTATGTCGTTAGTTGACGCAAGTTAATTTTTGTGTCTCCATCATTGACATCCGCTATTTTAAAATAAAAATTTTAACTCGATAAAGTACAAGTAAATGATTATATGGTTATTTAGACTATAAATAATCTAAAATAATTTTAAACAATGCAATTACATAAAAAAAAACATTAAGAAATCTGGATTTGAAATTAAGGTATTTCTTAACAATATTGTTAAGAAATTACAAACGTATAAGCAGTTTTGGCTTACTTGAAAAAATGAAATTTTTTTGCAGTAAATAGTTTATACCTTGGAATAAAATTTTACTATTTTTTAATTTTAAAAATGTCATGAAATATCAACAATTGTGATTATTAACAGATTTTGATAATGAAATAATAAAATTAAATAGGATGTCAATAATAGGGGCTTTTACCTTATATGATTAAACTTATCAAAACTAAAAAATATACATTTATATCTACTATTAAGTCTTACGAATAAACGTCCTTAATTATTAAATAAATAAATAAATGAATTAATAAAAGACGAATTGTTAATAATAACTCGGTAGACTTCAATTTTAATGTAATAAAAAGTTATGGCTACAGGTGAGTCTTGAAGACTTTTTGGAATCATGTGGCGGCGTGGCAAGTTCCAGTATTGGTGGAGTTCGAACAACCGGCGGGCCTACACTTCTAGGTGAGCTTGACGATGACGAAGAAGTCCTGGCAGAAGAAGACGACGACAACGAAGAAAACGATCCTGAGGTAAGTTTACCAGCACGACCTTGACCTTTTAAAAGTGACAATTTATATAGCAGTAAATAATTTTACAACAGATCGATTTATTGATCCAGGACGACGACGAGGAGAATGAGGAAGAGGTTGAAGGTGGAGAGGCCGAGTACGAAGAAGTAATGGTCTCTCGTAACCTTCTGGCAGCTTATATGGAAGAAGAGACTCCACAGAGTACCAAACGCCGCGCTTGGGACGACGAATTTGTTTTGAAGCGACAGTTTTCTGCGCTTATACCCGCATTCGACCCGAGACCAGGTCGCACCAATATAAACCAGACAACGGATCTTGAAGTACCGCAACCGGGTAGTGATTTACAGTCCAGTGTACGAGTGGGAACTGTTTCGTCTCCTCGACTGTCGCTTTCTCTCAAAGGTCCAGGGCTACCTGACACCCCCGATGTCGAGTTATCTCTCACAGATCCGAATGCAAGTATATTCCAGGTAAGATCATGAGATTGAAATTTTTTTTATGAATCTATATCGCGTAATTTTACCAAATGGTAAAAGGGCGCATAATCTTGTTTTTATCGCCAATCAACTGGTAGACATATCGCGTGACAAATGCCAAAAGGACGTACTCCTACAGTAAGATAGGGCTTTGTGCCAACAGGACGTACAAAAAAATTTTTTTTTGTCAATCAGCTCAAAATTGTCCAAAACGTCAAGATCAATAAAAAAAATTTTTTGAGTTCCTAACGCCAAAAGGACATAACTCAAAGGTATACGCCCTTTTGGTTTTAGGAAAATTTTTCTTTAAGCCAAAAGGGTGTATAAAGAAAATTGTTTTTTTTATTATAAAACATGAAAATAATGCAGCGTCGATGAAGCAATATCATAATAAAGGTGAAATATAAAAAATTGATGAAAATGAAGTTAGACGACATTACAAGATTTTTAGAAATTTTTTATTGAAAAAATTTCTATTAGACAACTAGGAAAAAAAATTTCACATGTAAAAAACTTGAAAAACTATAAGTGCAATTTTTTATAAATATTTTTTAGTTGTAATTTAATTAATAAAAAAAATCAAAAATTTTTAGACGTCTGCTAACTTCAGTGTGATAAAAATTGAACTATAAAAAGGGGCAAAATGAGCAACGAAAAAATTCTACTATTTTTTGAACTATTTTGTAAGATTCAGATTAAGAAAAAATTCAATCTTTTAAAAAATGATTAAATATATGTAAAACTTTTGAAATTTCGCGCTTCAGTAGCCTGATAGCCATTTAATAATAAAAATTCTATTAATATTTTTCATTTTCTCTCTTAGAGTCATTCAAATATATAATTTGCGACATAAATTTATTTGAATTGAAATTTTTTCATTTTTCAGACCAAAATATGTTTGCAAAGTAATTGGAAAAAAAAATTTTTTTATACGCCCTTTTGGCATTTGTTACGCGATATTCTACATATAATATAAAAATAGTATATTTTTTGGTGATAGTAAATTTCTTATATTAAGTTTTTGGATGAATTTTAAATAGTTTGTTTTATAAAATTCTTCGGTAAAATTTATTTAGAAAAAAATACCCAAACTATATACATTTTAATTCAAACTACCAAAAATCACTAACTAAAAATTTTTTAATTTATAATTAATAATTATCAGCATGTAGTAATTGTAGGTTGTTTAATACTGCGTTGAAAGAAAAAATTTCTTTTAAAAATATGGGCATTGTTGTAACAAAAAATTAATTTATTTAAAATTTCCATCAATTTTATTTCTTCAACTAAAAAATAAAATTTTAAACAAATTAATTTCTTATTAAAAATTGCTAATTTTTTTTCAAAATAAATTTTTTCTCTCAGCTAGTTTAATATAATTTAAATAACTAACTGAAACACAAAATCCAATTTCACTTCCAGGCCGTACAAGAGCTGATGCAGATGACAGAGCTAGGAAGCCGTCAAGAGAAGCTGCGTCGTATCTGGGAGCCAACGTACACGATAATCTACCGGGAATCAAAGGACGAAGAGTCTTCAGGCCGCGCAACTCCAATAGTAACCCTCTACTCTGGAAAACCCGCAGTCAGCAATAATGCCTGCACCGTGGAAGACGTTCTCCAGCTCCTAAGACATGTATACGTCCTGAGCATCACCCGGGACGACCGCCGGGACATGACAATCAACGAAGACTCTCTTGAATCTGCCTGCTGGGTGAACCCAGACGACTTTACCTCCAAGAAAATCACCAACAAAGTAATCCAGCAGATCCAAGACCCCCTGGCGCTTGCCGCAGGCGCTCTGCCAGCCTGGTGCGAAGAACTTGCCCGCAGCTGCCCATTCCTGCTGCCTTTCGAGACAAGGCGACTCTACTTCAGCTGTACGGCCTTCGGAGCCTCAAGATCTATCGTCTGGCTCCAAACTCAGCGTGACGCTATTTTAGAGCGTCAACGCGCGCCCGGACTGAGTCCCAGAAGAGACGACAGTCATGAATTCCGGGTCGGAAGACTGAAACATGAAAGAGTGAGCGTTCCCCGTGGTGAGAAACTTCTCGACTGGGCCGAGCAAGTTTTGAAAATTCACGCCCACAGAAAGAGTATCCTAGAAGTTGAGTTTGTCGGCGAGGAAGGAACTGGACTGGGTCCAACCCTTGAATTTTTCGCTTTAGTCGCTGCCGAGCTTCAAAGAAAAGATCTAGGACTGTGGCTCTGCGACGACCACGACCAGTCGGAAGGTTACTCCTGTCCCTCGGACGAGCAAACTAGACCAGCGGGCTACTACGTGATTAGAGCCAGTGGACTCTTTTTAGCGCCGTTGCCTCAGAACTCTGAAGCTTGCGATCGCGCGGTAAGATACTTCTGGTTCCTTGGAGTCTTTTTGGCGAAAGTGCTTCAAGATAACCGTCTGGTGGATCTCCCACTGTCCAGGTCCTTCCTTAAGCTCATGTGCCGGGGAGACATCGCTAACAACGTCAATGAAAAGATTGGACTGACTGGTGTCACTCAAGAAAGCATCTCCTCGAGTATGGCCAGCAGCTTCATCAGCGAAGAGGGAGAGACAGACGGACTTAACTCGCTTGAGCCGAGTCCGTGGTACGACGGTATCCTGGGTATCGAGGACCTGGTGATGGTCGACCCGGTCAGAGGGGAATTTTTGAAGGAAATCCAAGCGGTTGCCTCTAGGCGTGAGAGGACTATTTCCGAGGGCTGCTCGTCTTCTGATGAAGATCCTATCCGTATTAATCATCCGTCCGGCACTTCTGTTGCTATCGAAGACTTGGGGCTCACCATGTCTTATTCACCCGGGTCTAAGGTCTTTGGCTACGACCACGAGGAGCTGGTTGAAGGAGGGTACGATGTTGGGATTACTGTTGACAATGCCAGGGAATACGCGGAGCTGACCATCGACTATTGCTTGAATAAAGGAATCGCCAGACAGCTTGAGTCCTTCAAGGCTGGATTTTCAAAAGTTTTTCCCATGGAGAAACTTCATGCCTTCAGTCCTGAAGAAATTAGGGCGATGCTTTGTGGAGAACAGAATCCTCATTGGACCAGAGAAGATCTGCTCAATTATACTGAACCTAAATTAGGATACACTCGTGAAAGGTTTGTGGATTTTTTTGTTAATACACTGATAGAAGGAGTTATTTATTTTTTGATAATTTATTTGATTGGAAATCATTTTTTTTTATTTGTTGAATATATAGAAAAATTTTTGCAAATAAAATTATATTCATTAATAGTTGATCTATATTATTAAGAGAATAAGCAATTTTTGAAAAAAAATTTCTTTCCCCTTTATATCAATGCGGGTATTTTTTAACGCGTCTTTTGTCCTGATAGCTTTATTATCGAATTATAAATATTTATTAACAGTTAATAAATCTCTTTGGAGTGAAAATTTCTTGTTTAAAGTGTGATGTAAAGATACGATATGATTATTATTATCGTAGAAAAAAAAATTTTTTTTTTACTTATTACAACTAGAGTAAAGGCTCCAAATATTGACCAGTTTAGATAAAATGAATATAAATACATAATTTCTAAATTTATTGGAAGAGTTTATGAGCTGAAATGAGTGTTATACTTTTTTTTATAGTTTTAACTTATAAACTTCAATACTTTTGTTTACAAAATACACAATAATAAACATTAAATTGTAATAATTAACGTTCCAGCTGATTGTTTCTAATATTGACCATTACTTACTAAATATTGACTGTCTATGTTTCAAATACTAACCAGTAGTATTATGCTTAGTAGACTTATAAATAATTTTTATTTTTAATCTATAATAGTTTCGACACTAGGTTATTTATTCACTGACATGTTAATAATTTCAGTATTGTTGTTAGTTCTGTATTTTGATACAATATTATCTTCAGTACTCATATTTAAATCAATAGCCTAAGCCATTCTAATATTAGGTACATTAGATAATTTACAACATCAATTGTTGACCGGAGTATTATTTCAATTATTAACATGTTCTTTCTAACAAAAATAATTAATCTTCGATATTTAATTATTTTGACAAATACTTATTTATTGATTATGAAGTATTTAATTTTATATAAATTGATGATTAATGTACTTACCAAACACGGCGAGGTAAAGTTCTAATGACTAATTTTCACAACTTTCTGACATTAGTACACAAACTTTTTTTTTTTTTTATTATAACAACTGCATATATTTATGTGCATGCGTAAATTTTTATTTAAAGTATAATTAAAAATTGATAAATACGTACTGAATATTCAATTAAATTACTAGATTTTTAAAAATCAAGTTGTTATGCTGCCTGATCAATATTTGGTTCTTTTAGCTTACTTAAAAAAACTCTAATAGAAAATAAACCTTTTCTTATAGATTAAGTACTTCATTTTTCCTCTAAAAAAACAAATAAATTGTTCTGTAATTTTTTTACAACTTTTTCCGTACTTGCTTTAATAGTAATTAAAGTATAATTAATTCTTCTGGGTCAAGTGTTAATGGTGTATAAAATATATAATCAGTAATTTTTTTTTATAGAAAATATTCTCTGGAAAAAAAAAAAAAAAAAAAAAAAAAAAAAATCCCTTACAAATACTTTCTTTAATTTTTGGTTTCTCTACCTCTTACATTTATTATTTTAATATTAATTTTATTTTTTCAATTTTTTTTATCAGAAAATAATTAATGATTCTGATCTAATAAATTTACCTATCAAAGCTATAGGGTTATAAATAGTGTCAAAGTTTAATTTTTATACTCACTTCTTATTTAAGGATATAAACATCTATCAACTATAAATAAATATTTATTAACAGTTATTAACTTGAGTTTAACAGACAATTTCTTAATTATTAATAAATATTTTTTAACTATTAATAAATATTATATAAATCATCTGACGTTCATATATAATCCATTAACAGATAACAAGTCTTATTAAATATAAAAAAATCCTTCTATCAGTGTACTTTTATTAATATTTGTAAAAATAAAAACTCGAGAACAAAACTAAGAAAATTTATTTTACAGCCCCGGCTTCCAGAGATTCGTCAACGTTTTGATGTCGCTGACCGGTCCTGAGCGCAAGGCCTTCCTGCAGTTCGCGACCGGGTGCTCGGCGTTACCACCGGGCGGTCTCTGCAACCTGCATCCAAGACTGACAGTCGTGCGCAAAGTAGACGCCGGCGCCGGGGGTTACCCATCAGTAAACACCTGCGTCCACTATCTCAAATTGCCCGAGTACCCCACGGAAGAAATGCTAAAAGAGCGACTCCTTGCAGCCACCCGAGAGCGAGGTTTCCACTTGAATTAAGTTTTAAAAATTTAATTATTCACAACAACCACAAACCATAAATATAATATAATAAAAATAATTTTTAAGTGTCATGTGATCGGGCCTCGTGTTTAGTAAACACTTTAATGGTACAGAATTAAATCTCACAATTTATTATTAATATTACTACTATTAATTTATTAATCTTTAATTATATATCACCAGTCTTTAAGTTAGTTTTTTTTTTCTTTTAAAATCTTGTAAATTTAATTGCAGCGGATTTAATGAGTTTTTTTTTTTTTTCGAAGTATGAATTAAAATTACAATTAATTGATTAATAAATAAATACATTTAATTTAATTTATAGATGGAATTAATTAGAAGCTTAAACACTGTCCGTCTATTATTTAATTTAATCAAAAATATATTAAAAAAAAATATATACATAATTATTAATTAAATCAATACTTCTGTACGACAAACAATTAGTCACTCTATTTATTAAAAGCAAGATATTTTTTTTCTTTTTCATTTGTAAAGTTTTTTACTACTCGCTTTTTTTTTTCTTAGACGATTGTACATTCGATTATTTAATCTTTATTATTGCTTTTCTAATATAATAATAATTATATATATATATATATTATTTCTGGGTTTTAAATTTACTTTATCTGCCAATAGTTTTTAAAAATAAAAATAATATAATAAAAAATTTAAATTTAAGCTTGAGTGCTGGTAAATGTAAAATGTTATAAGAATTTTATTTGTAATTGATAAGACAAGACAAGATCAGAAGAGTATTTAAATTTAAAAAAAAAAAAAAAAAAAAAAAAAAAAAAAAAATACTATATATTGAGATCGGTGAGTTATAATTTGAATTTAAAATTAAAATTAAAAAATGAGGATAATTACGAAGGTACCAAGCTGATTTATAAATTGAAAAATTTTAAAGAGATGAAGACTCGGTATATTGGGCACTACGCATATTTGTACGATACGCTACTTAATGCTCACAAAATAAATAGTTATTGATTATTATTATTATTATAATTATAATTATTGAATCAATTATTTAAATATTATTACTATTATAATTATAAATAATAGAGTAAATAGCAGAAAGAATTAAATTTTAAATGATAAGATAGTTAAGATCAATGTATTATAAATTATTATTATTAATTATAAATAAATATTAAAATTATTGGGGAGATGAATAAATAAAAAACAAACTTAAAAATGTTTTGTTTATTTTTTTGAATTCTTTTACCTTTTTGATTTGAGAGTTTATAGTAGAAATAGAAAGTTTGGAAAATTCAAAAGCCTAAAACTTACTTTTAAAATAAATTATTTGGTATATTTGACTTATCATATATTTAGTTCATTAAAATTAAATTAGCCAAAATTTTTATAATTTTTTTTTATTAAAAAAAAAAATTTAACATGTAGAAAATGTGAAAAATTATGTGTGCAATTTTTTTTTAAGTATTATTTTATACGTATCATTTAATTTATGAAAAAAATAAAAAATTATCAAAATTAATAAAAAAAAATAAATCACATAGTTGTATATAATTAATGATTATATTTGGACATTTTCTTAGATATAAAAGATTTATGTATAATCATATATGATAGAATTTAACAGACATCTAAAAATTTTTAAGATTTTTATAAGAATTAAACTATGACAAAAAAAATTCAAGATGTTGAAATTAAAAAATAAATATAAGTGCAAATTTTTAAAATAATTTTTTTTTATAAAAATTTTCAATAATTGTTAAATTTCTGTTAATTTGAAGATCATCAAATAATAATACTGAATTTAACAGACGTCAGACAATTTTTTAGATTTTTATAAAAATTAAATTTTAACAAAAAAAATTCTTCAAAAAAATTTAAAAAGAATATAAGTGCGAATTTGTAAAAATATTTTTCTTATAATAATTTGTCATAAAAATTTGTAAATCTATGCTAATTTCAGTGTCATGATTATATATAAAAAATTTTTTATCGGGTAGATTATTATAATAAGTAAACAAGAGACCGGTTAAGCTATTTCATTCCAATATATATATATATATTTATTGTTCATACACATTTTTAAAATAATAATAGTACATCGCTGAAGTATTTAACCAGTAGATTTAATCTATAACCCATAAACAAAAATATAGCTATCAATGATCAATTATTACATAATTGAACAAATAAAATCTTAGTATCTGTTTGCTGATATGTCTAAACATACGTTACAGTTAGATAATTCACTGGTAATAATCTAAAACAATTTAATTTATTGACAATAAATTAAACCAAAAAGAAAAGAAAATAATAACTGGGAAAAAATATTTGGGATTACAATCTACATTTGACACACTCGGGTGCTTCGTGATGAGAATCATCGCTAGATAGTCACGGCATGAGAACTTGGTGAGCTTCAGCGCGTTCTTCCTCGAGTTCTTTGGCAGTAATATCAAGTTTGGATCTTGCAAAGTCGCTTATTTCCAATCCTTGGACAATCTCGAATTTTTTATCTTTGATGTTGACCGGAAATGAGAACACGACGTCTTTGGGGATTCCGTAGCTCCCGTCAGAAACGACACCCATGGAGACCCACTGTCCCGGTTTGGTACCGAACCACCAGTCCCGCATGTGGTCGCCAGCAGCCTTCGCAGCAGACATTGCTGATGACATTTTACGCGCGGCGATAACAGCAGCTCCACGTTTTTGGATTGTTTCCAAGAACTCGCCGTTCAGCCAGGCATTGTCATTTACCGCCGAGCTGACCTTTACTGAACCCTTCCCTGGCAGGTCAGCGACTGCATGCGCAGCATCCGGGTACTGGGTTGAACTGTGATTACCCCAGATGATTACGTTCTTCACTTTGTCGACCTAGTTAACAAGTTTATGTATTTAATTGGTTAACACTTTTATTATCAATGGTAATAAAAGTAATTATCATTTATAATCATACTAGAGCTCAGGAAAATTTTTAATGAACATATTGAATCTATAAATCGCGTGCCTAATGTTAAAAGGGTGTTTAAAAATATTATTACTTCTAAAATCAACTAGAAAATGTATAAAAGTGAAAATCTGGTTGAAAAATGCAAAAAAAAATTTTTGGTCATTATTTACAAGTGGGGTCAACTCCATTTCAGAACATAACTAGGTAAAAAAATAACATTTAAAAATTTTTTTTATTCTGCTTGTTTTTACGGCGCATTAATGATAGAAAATGTCGTAAAAGGGAAAAATAAAAATTTTAATAGCTTTTTTACCTTTAAAAGTTGGAAAAAATATTGGCTTTCATGTTTTTGGATAAAATTTCTATTTTATACTTTTTTTTTTGAAAAAGTACATAAAAAAAAAACGAACAATTAAAAAAAAAATTGATCAATTTAATAAAAAAAAAAAAATTAACATGGCCCAACATGGGCTGACCCTACTTGTAAATAATTACCAAAATTTTTTTCATCATACGTCTTTTTGGTTTTAAGGAGGTTCGAGTGAATCTAATGTAAAAAATAATTTCCAACTTTATTAATTATAAATAAATATTAAAATTATTGGGGAGATGAATAAATAAAAAACAAACTTAAAAATGTTTTGTTTATTTTTTTGAATTCTTTTACCTTTTTGATTTGAGAGTTTATAGTAGAAATAGAAAGTTTGGAAAATTCAAAAGCCTAAAACTTACTTTTAAAATAAATTATTTGGTATATTTGACTTATCATATATTTAGTTCATTAAAATTAAATTAGCCAAAATTTTTATAATTTTTTTTTATTAAAAAAAAAAATTTAACATGTAGAAAATGTGAAAAATTATGTGTGCAATTTTTTTTTAAGTATTATTTTATACGTATCATTTAATTTATGAAAAAAATAAAAAATTATCAAAATTATAAAAAAAAAATAAATCACATAGTTGTATATAATTAATGATTATATTTGGACATTTTCTTAGATATAAAAGATTTATGTATAATCATATATGATAGAATTTAACAGACATCTAAAAATTTTTAAGATTTTTATAAGAATTAAACTATGACAAAAAAAATTCAAGATGTTGAAATTAAAAAATAAATATAAGTGCAAATTTTTAAAATAATTTTTTTTTATAAAAATTTTCAATAATTGTTAAATTTCTGTTAATTTGAAGATCATCAAATAATAATACTGAATTTAACAGACGTCAGACAATTTTTTAGATTTTTATAAAAATTAAATTTTAACAAAAAAAATTCTTCAAAAAAATTTAAAAAGAATATAAGTGCGAATTTGTAAAAATATTTTTCTTATAATAATTTGTCATAAAAATTTGTAAATCTATGCTAATTTCAGTGTCATGATTATATATAAAAAATTTTTTATCGGGTAGATTATTATAATAAGTAAACAAGAGACCGGTTAAGCTATTTCATTCCAATATATATATATATATTTATTGTTCATACACATTTTTAAAATAATAATAGTACATCGCTGAAGTATTTAACCAGTAGATTTAATCTATAACCCATAAACAAAAATATAGCTATCAATGATCAATTATTACATAATTGAACAAATAAAATCTTAGTATCTGTTTGCTGATATGTCTAAACATACGTTACAGTTAGATAATTCACTGGTAATAATCTAAAACAATTTAATTTATTGACAATAAATTAAACCAAAAAGAAAAGAAAATAATAACTGGGAAAAAATATTTGGGATTACAATCTACATTTGACACACTCGGGTGCTTCGTGATGAGAATCATCGCTAGATAGTCACGGCATGAGAACTTGGTGAGCTTCAGCGCGTTCTTCCTCGAGTTCTTTGGCAGTAATATCAAGTTTGGATCTTGCAAAGTCGCTTATTTCCAATCCTTGGACAATCTCGAATTTTTTATCTTTGATGTTGACCGGAAATGAGAACACGACGTCTTTGGGGATTCCGTAGCTCCCGTCAGAAACGACACCCATGGAGACCCACTGTCCCGGTTTGGTACCGAACCACCAGTCCCGCATGTGGTCGCCAGCAGCCTTCGCAGCAGACATTGCTGATGACATTTTACGCGCGGCGATAACAGCAGCTCCACGTTTTTGGATTGTTTCCAAGAACTCGCCGTTCAGCCAGGCATTGTCATTTACCGCCGAGCTGACCTTTACTGAACCCTTCCCTGGCAGGTCAGCGACTGCATGCGCAGCATCCGGGTACTGGGTTGAACTGTGATTACCCCAGATGATTACGTTCTTCACTTTGTCGACCTAGTTAACAAGTTTATGTATTTAATTGGTTAACACTTTTATTATCAATGGTAATAAAAGTAATTATCATTTATAATCATACTAGAGCTCAGGAAAATTTTTAATGAACATATTGAATCTATAAATCGCGTGCCTAATGTTAAAAGGGTGTTTAAAAATATTATTACTTCTAAAATCAACTAGAAAATGTATAAAAGTGAAAATCTGGTTGAAAAATGCAAAAAAAAATTTTTGGTCATTATTTACAAGTGGGGTCAACTCCATTTCAGAACATAACTAGGTAAAAAATAACATTTAAAAATTTTTTTTATTCTGCTTGTTTATAGAAAATGTCGTAAAAGGGAAAAATAAAAAATTTTAATAGCTTTTTTACCTTTAAAAGTTGGAAAAAATATTGGCTTTCATGTTTTTGGATAAAATTTCTATTTTATACTTTTTTTTTTGAAAAGTACATAAAAAAAAACGAACAATTAAAAAAAAATTGATCAATTTAATAAAAAAAAAAAAATTAACATGGCCCAACATGGGCTGACCCTACTTGTAAATAATTACCAAAATTTTTTTCATCATACGTCTTTTTGGTTTTAAGGAGGTTCGAGTGAATCTAATGTAAAAAATAATTTCCAACTTTGAGCTTTGAAATTAAGTATACGTATAAATAAATACGTTATTCATCTAATCTTAAAATTTAAAAAAGATTCACCGTTTAGTTACTTAAATATTAAATTTTAAAAATAACATATTTTATCGCCTTATACACGGGCTCTTATGGCGGACAAACTTTTGTCGAGACTTTAATTATTTTTTTCAATATTAACCTCCCAACTTTAACGAATAAAAAACTTTACACAAAAAACTTGGATTGTAGCAAAATATAAAAACAATTTAATAATAATACATTAACGATATAATTTTTGAAATATTTAAAGTCAAATTTTATGTTTGTAACTCGTTTATCATCAGACATTTATTCGAATCAAGATTTGACAACGTCGCGTCAACAGCTGAGAAAAAAGAAATGGATAGAAATGTAGTTACAAAGAGAGAAATGTTTAACTCACACACTCATCCACGTCTCAGTTATGGGTATAATCGAGCGCGCTATTGCCAAATCTGTGTATTTATTCCGACAAGTAATAAATACCGATGTCATTTTATTACTTTACTTTATTAAATAAGTAAAAATCATCAATTATTTTAAATTAAAATAAAGAATTTTGATGAATATTCTAAAGTTTTAAAAAAATTTCAACATTATTCTAACTCATTAGTTACGCTCGAACTTCCTTAAGAAAAAAAATTTTTAAAGTTGAAAGAGGTATATGAAAAAAATAGTCAAAGTAGCTTCTAAAAACCTTGAAACGTCGAAATTTAATGAAAAATTAATTTTTGGAAATGAGACTGAAAATCAACATATCCCAATATCTTAAAATTTTCAGATTCTCCTGACAAAAATTGACAATTTCAAAAAATTGGGCTATAATAGTACCTATTTTAAGTTCAGTTTTAAAAATTCATTTTTTTTTTTACTCGGCTTCGCTTCTAATTAGCAAATTGTCTAACTCCATTTTAGAGAATCTTCTATTTGTTCGAAAAAAAACAATTAATTCAAAATTTATTATCACTTTAAAAAACCATTTAATATCATTAATATCTAATAGAAATATAATATTTAGATTTGAATCATTCAAATAATTTATAATTGGATTATTGCTACATAAAAATGTTAAAAAATAACCCTCTAAAAAATAAGGAGTTAGACAAATTGCTAATTAGACTGTCGACATGCGATCTAAGACATTTCTTACTTTACTGCCCTAGGTATGTAATATACTAATTTTGAAACGTTTTGGTTTTTTTTCAAAGTAGCATCATAAATGATTTTTAAAAAGTATGAAGTGGCTTAATTCAAGTGTTTTCTCGATGTAAGTCTACTCATATTATTGCACAAGTACAATATGGTTGTAATAGAAGCATTTAAAGATCACAAAATTGCTTGACCTTGACAAGTCGGGAATAAAACACTATCTCATGCGCTTCGCGCCATGAAGCGTGCAATCTTAATATAAAATTGAGATGAAATGTATGTGGCATCAAACTATTCGTAACGTGATTGGTTGAATATATCATAAGCATGAAAATATATGCAAACTCAATAGTCAGACGCGCGCTTGCGCGCGTAAATTTGAGTTCTAGTCCCATCCCATCCCATAATAAAATTGAGATGAAATGTATGAGAAACCAATCTATTCGTGATGTGATTGGTTGAAAATAAATATTCTCATTCTGAT